GGAAGCAAGAAGGAGGACTTGGCTTTAGGGACATGGAAGTTTTCAACCAAGCACTGCTTGCGAAGCAAGCTTGGAGACTGTTGCAGGAGCAAAGCTCGTTGTGTGCGCGAGTGCTCAAAGCAAGGTACTACCCAGACAGTTCCATCCTCAATGCAACCTGTCCGGATGGGGGTTCTTTCACGTTCAGGAGTATCATTCACGGTCGGGAACTACTAAGGGAGGGGCTGATTTGGTGTACTGGAGATGGATCCAGAGTTCGTATTCATCACGATAATTGGATTCCGCGTAATGGCAGCCTGAAGCCACTGGGCCAGGTGTTTGTCTCGGGTGTCACTAGAGTTGGCGATCTAGTTGATGAAACCAACACTGGTTGGGACAGAGAGAAGGTGCAGAATATGTTTCCCCCGGCGAAGCATGTGATATCATGCAAATTACTATGGGGGGGCGGGGGTGGAGGACTATATCGCATGGAACTACACAAAAGATGGTGTGTTCTCAGTGAGGTCGGCATACCACCTCGGTATGACGCAGAAACGAGCAAAGACAGGGAACCCAGGGTCGTCCTCTTCGGTCGCCAACCATAAAGCATGGACGAACTTGTGGGACACTGTGGCGCCGGGAAGAATGAAAGTTCACACATGGCGCCTGATCCGGAACGGACTAGCAGTGGGATCCGAGCTTCATAGGCGCGAGATCAAAGCTGGGGTGTTTTGTGTAGCATGTGGTAGGGAGGAGACCAACTTACATAGGTTCTGGCGCTGTCCTCACTTGGCAAAGTTCTAGCAGATGGTGTACTCGGAATTGGGAGTACCGGCGGCGATCCCGCCGGCGTCAGTTTGCTCCCAGAGTGCGCTAACTCAATGGCTCATGGATTGGTTTGCAGATGCTTCGGATGATCAACGAGCTATTATGGTGCAGGGATTATATGCGCTGTGGATGGCAAGGAATAACACGCGTGAAGGGACGAGAATTGAGGAGCCGGGTGACATGGCTATAATGGTTAGGAGGCTAATGGAGGAGTGGCAACAGGTCAATGGAAAGGAAAGCAAGGCTCCCCGTGCCCCACTGATTCAAAACTGGAGTGTTCCGGATGAAGGGTGGATTAAAGCGAACGTAGATGGTGCAACTGCTGCAGGAGGAAAGGGGGGCGGGGGGGTGGTCTTCAGAAATGCGGACGGAGCGTTCATAGCAGCAGAATGCAGATGCTTCCCTATTGGTGGTGATCCAGCTCTGGTGGAGCTTCAGGCGTGTAAGAGGGCGGTGCAATTGGCGGGGGATTTAAATCTGGCTAAAGTACATCTCGAGCTGGACTGCCAAGCAGTGGTTCATAAGTTACAAAGCAAAGAAGCTGATCTATCTTCTCTGGGACCAATGATCAAGGATGTGAAAAACTTGCTGGAGCAACGGGAGTGGAAGGTATCTTGGGTTCGGAGGTCGGCGAATGGAGCCGCACATAAACTAGCAAAGGAGGGGCTAGATAATAATTTGAATAAGGTCTGGGTGGGTGACCCCCCAGAGTGCATGATTAAATAAAGACTGTTTAGATTTCAAAAAAAACTAAAGGGACATGAGTAATTAATTAAGCCTCAAGTGTACAGAGGGCATTCCTTGCTTGCATGTTAGTCTAGCTAGTGTCTCTGCTGCCAATAGAACTACTACTGGCAATTTTCAGAAAATTTTAGGGGAAAATGAGTTTTTTTTTGAAAGATCCTGCATAATACTGGCTTTTCTTTGATAAGCAGAAAGCAATGGAGAAAATACAAAGGGGGAGGTGAGGGTCCTAGGACCAGTTTGGTTACAACACTATGAACCTCGGGAAAACTTCTGTTCTAAATTTTCATGGTGGATCCCAAAAGGGTCTCTCCAAATGAATTGCTTCCGCTTGTCGCCAAAGCTCAATGGAATGCTCAACGTCCTTGGTGATGTCTTACGCTGAAGGTGTCTTTTCCTTGAACACACATCGATTCTTCTCTTGCCAAATTTCCCAGCATGTTAACAGCATGGTGGCATTGCTGACCCTTCGTTGTGCTGGCCGGGTGCTTCCCGCCATCCGTTGGAGTGTGGCGATGGGGCTTTCTTCTTGCACCTGTTGTCGTGGGTGTAACTGCTGACACCCTCGTCTTGCGGCTACCTTTTCCCACACCTCACGGGCTAGTGGGAAGCTCCAGGAGAGGTGGTGAGTTGTCTCCAGGTTGCGAACACATAGCGGGCAGAAATAGTTGTTCGGCCAGCCGCGCCTTTGTAGCCTGTCACAAGTCCAGAGACGGTTTTGCAGGAGGAGCCAGGTGAAGATCTTAATGCATCCAGGCACATTTGCCTCCCAGATCAAATTCTGCCAATCGGCTTGTACTCTGCTCTGGAATTGCACGACGTAAGCCGAGCTTGCTGAGTATTGTCCTCTAGCCTCTAGATTCCACCTAATTTGATCACTGCTCCCCTCCGTTAGCACGGTCGGCGCGATCTTGCGATGCAGCCTGACGAAATCCGGTAGTAGTGGTTGTAAGTTGCCGTGCCGCATGGAAAACGAGTTAAAACGTACTCCTAATATGCTTGACTTATCCCTAATATGTACACTTTCGTCTAGACTTGGTCTGGTCGTCGAGTTATTTTTCTCTTCACTTTTGCTGTTTGGCAAATTGGTTTGGTTTGTGACAGCCTGACAGGCAGGCAGTAGGATCGACGCTAACACGTGTACGTTCTGCAGTCGCGTCGCTGTCCCATGCGGCAGCGCTAGCCGCCACCCAGGAGGCCACGAGATTGGTTCTCTTCCTCACGCCAAAATGAAAACTGAAGAATGTTCTCATCCGCTTATCATTCGCACAGCGCGTTCATTACTTAACTTGGGGTCAACCAAGCTGTCCACTTCTCCTTCTCCTACTCGACCGGGCTGCTCTCCGTTGACTAGGGTACATAGACACCCACCGTACGTGCAAGTGCAAATGGGTGCATCTCTAACCAACTAAGCTGAAGTTAAGGGACGTGGGTGATTAATTTGGCATCAAGTTGCACACTTGCATTATTCTCGATCTGAGCACAAAAGGAAATCTTGTGCATTACTCTACCTAGCTATTGTCTCTGCAAATCAAACTCCAAACCACCCAACCAACATGCATGGATGCATCTCGAACAACTATGGATGAAGTTAAGGGACGTGAGTGATCAATTAGGCATCAAGTTGCACACTTGTTGCATTGTCCTCCATCTGAACAAAAAAGGAAATCTTATGCATTACTCCAGCTAGCAATTGCACGATCCGGGTCGTACACAACGATCGTGAGACCCTCTTCAGCGAAGGACATCTGGCAAAAAATAAATCTCAACGCAGCCTGCCAATTAATAAGCCTCTAATTCCGGTAACAAAATCGCTAATGTCGTTCCTATTGTTGAGATTAATTGTACTAATTAAGTGGGAAATCTCTCCTCACCCAACCATCGTGCGGTTACTCCCGCAACGGACGCCTCTCTTCGATTTCCTGGTACCGACGTCCCCTCGAAGGATCATCGCGTCTCTCCGAATCGTATAAAAGGCTCGTGTAACCATCGCCAGAGACAGAGATTTGATTTCGATCCCAGACACCTATTTCAAACATCTAGCCGCCACATCTGCCAAATCCCGATCCCCTTTCTTCTCCAGCGTCCAGACTTGGTCGTCGCCGCCCCTGATGTCGCAAGCTCAAAAATGTCATGGATCCATTTTCCTACTCCGGCGTCCACTCTCGCTTGTCACCGTCGTCGGAAGCTCGCTTCGTTGCGGAAGCACCGGAGCTTTGTTCATGCTGCTCTCCCATCCATCCACAACTAGGCGTGGCAGCCATCGGTGCTCCGTCCATGGCCACCTCCTCAGCTCAGCTCCGCCGTATGTGTCCTAGTTGCACAACATTGACCTGCTGGATGAATCTTGGCAAAGTACGGTGCCGTGAGCCGGGCCGCCGACATGATAGAGTGTGCCGAGCTGGGGTACTCTGCTTGGTGTCGAGGAGCTCACCGGCGACGACGGTGGGGCATTTCATGCCAACGGCTGAAATTTGGGGGCAATCGGGAGATTGAATCCCGTTTTGCAAATAGGAAAATGGGGAAGGAGACTGCTTTGCTTTGAGATTTGTTTCTTAAAGGATTATTTTCCGTCTCTGTGAATCAAACTAACCACATTTTTTTGTTTTTTTAGGGGAAAATCAAACTAACTGTAGTGATCCAACTTGATGCTACGGTCACCAAAAACTTTCACTTCTCCCTCTATCATCATTTTGGCTGGTGCACACCATCATATACAAGAAGCTCTCCTCCGTCCGTTGTCGTGTATCCGATTAACCCCTCCACGTTTTCCTCGCCGCTCCTAGTTTCTCCCCACACATCCTCAGTGTGTCGTGATCAATATGGTGGTCGAGCATTTCCTCCCTATGATTATAGACGAAACATCGAACCCTAGGTTTCTCGATGGTTATCAAATGATCGGCGATGAAGAGGAAGAAGATAAATTTATCATTTGGAGCAATGACAATATAGCGAGAAGTGAAAGGTTGCCTCCATCGTTGTCAATGCATCTAGTTAACACCTCCTCTTTTTCCTCGCCGCTCCTAGTTTCTTGCCGCACCTCCTTTGTGAGTTGAGATCAATATGGTGGTCGAGCATGTCATCCCAAAGATTAGAGACGACACATCGAACCCTAGATTTCGCGACGGTTATCGCGATGAGGAGACGAAAGATAAATTTATCATTCCGACCAAATTCACCCCATTACGGATCCCTTTGACTCTAAATGTAAAACGGATAAACGGCTGAACAAGAATTTTTCATTCAGAACAATTCAAAATGCAGCGGGTGTTTGACTCGCGTTTGACCGGTCGACCAGCCGTCTTCCTCCTCTCGAGGCAACAACTCGGCGAGGTAAAGCGAGCGAGATAGCAGACGAAGAAAAAAACAACCAAAGGCGAAACCTTTATCACGCCAGCAAATTGGTCGGCAAGCAAGAAAGTCCGACGAGCTTCTTTCTCTGGTCGCCGATGGTTGGCCTCCGCAGGCATCAGATGTGCAAGACCAAGAGCGCCACGGCCACCGCCGCCGCGCCGTCGTCCATGGCCCGCTCCTCCGCCACCGCCCCGACGGCCACCGCCCACGGCCGCCGCTCGCCCCGCGCGAACACCAACGGCACCCACCCGACCTCCTACTCCACCTCCTCGGCGGCGCTCTCCACCTCCTCCTCCTCCGCGGCCTCCTCCCTGCAGGCCCTCAGGGACTCGCTCCCGGACCTGCCGCTCCTCCTCACCTTCGCCGAGCTCGCCGCCGCCACCAAGAACTTCTCCCCCGCGCACCGCCTCGCGCCGGGGTCGTCCAATTCGTTTAGATGCGCGCTCCGGGGCCACCCGGCCGCCGTCTTCCGCCGCGCGCTGCGGCGGGATCCGGCCGAGGTGTCGTCCCGGCTCGCGGTCCTCGGCCACTGCCACCACGCCGCCATCGCGCGGCTCTACGGCGCGGCCGCCTCCCCCGACGGCGCCCTCTTCCTCGCCTACGAGCTCGTCCCGGGCGCGGCGCCGCTCTCCTCGCTGCTCCGCGGCGCCAACAACCCGTCCTTCACGCCGCTCGCCTCATGGCACTCCCGGCTCCGCCTCGCCGCCGACGCCTGCGACGCGCTCAGCTACGTGCACCTCCAGGCCGGGACCGTGCACAACCGCCTCTCCTCCTCCTCCGTCCTCGTGTGCGGCCAGGGCCCGCTCCTCCGGGCCAAGCTCGCGCACTTCGGGTCCGCGGACCTCGCCGGGGAGCTCCCGGACGACGAATCCGGCGACAAGGAGGCGAGGCACCGGCGGACGGGCAGCCGCGGGAGGCGGATCGAGGGCACGCGCGGGTACATGGCGCCGGAGCTGACCGCGGGCGGGTCGCCGACGCGGCGGTCGGACGTGTTCGCGCTGGGCGTGCTGCTGCTGGAGCTGGTGTCCGGGCAGGAGCCGGTGCGGTACGAGTTCAACAAGGCGACCGGGGACTACGAGCGCACCTCGCTGATCGAGAGCGCCTCCGCCGCGTCGGCGTCCGGCGGCGGCGAGGGGATGCGGCAGTGGGTGGACCGGCGGCTCAAGGACTCGTTCCCCGTCGATGCGGCGGAGGCCCTCACCACTCTGGCGCTGCAGTGCGTGTCCAAGGACCCCGCGGCGCGGCCGGAGATGTCGTGGGTGGCCGCCAAGGTGTCCAAGCTGTTCCTGGAGGCGCAGGACTGGGCCGACAAGTTCCGCATCCCCACCGACATCTCCATCTCCATGGCTCCCAGGTGAACTCAAACTCTAGCTGACTGCCGCCGAGCGCCATCGCCGATTTAATTGCTCGCCGAAGCTGTGATTCTAATTCTTCGTGTGGCATGATCATGTTGTTGAGAGAATTGTTGATAGATTAGTTTTGATTGATTGATGTTGCCGTGGCTATCACATGCTTTGATGCTAACAACAGATGAGTGCTACCGCTGCTAATGTGGACATGTGTACAGATAAATCACCATTGGCGTCTTTGTCCTCTTGCTCTTGGTTCTTACCGCTGATGTGCACATGAGTGGTTTGTGATGTAGAGTAGTTTACACAGATCCAGCTTTGTCATTGTTAAGAAAAGAAGGTTGATGCAACACTCCTACTCCTACATCTGAAAAGATTCAGCTTTGTAGACAAAAGCATGTGAGTGGAAAATGTCATGCAGATGCAGAGTCCATTCCACACTGAAACAGGGCAAGGGGCGCTGGCCTCATTTGGTCCAGAGGATTTTTGGCAACTGTAATCCCTACACAATTTCCTGAATTTCATAGGGAAATTACGGATCGACGCTATGTTTCATAGGAAAATTTCCATCCACTCCAGCCTCTTGAAGAAATTTGCAGAGTTTTTTAACCTGCTGGATCCGAGTTGACTTTTAAACTTAATGTTTCTCCAATTTCCATGTTTTTTGGAGTTTTGTTAAACAAAGACTTGATGAGAGTCCCTGGAGTAATACTTCCTCCGTTCCGAATTACTGGTCGCAGGGTATGGATGTATGTAAATGTATTTTAGTTCTCATCCATTTCTGCGACGAGTAATTTGGAACGGAGGGAGTAGTTCGTATTACTCATGTTAGTCGCAACCAGGACCTTGCTAGTGATTTTCATGGCAAAATACGGTAGACAAAAATTTAAAACAGCTGTTTGGATTGGTTCCGGGGCCGGATGGCTTGTTAAACTTATATGTAACTGTGGTATTGTTCCCTCGCAGGAAAAAAAACTGTGGTATTGTTGGCCCTGGATGAGTAATACAGTACAATTTACTTTTCCCAAACACTAAAAAAGATGTCAACAACTTCATTGTTTGTGCTGATGAAATTGTGGATCTTGGATGAGAGCAGATAAAACATTCTTGTTTCCTTTTCTTGTGATATGGACGCGTCTAGTCCCATCTGACAATTGCATCATGTCTCTCTGGCTCTGAGTGAGGCCCATCACAGCGGCGAATCAGATTTTCTTTGTGAAACATTTTCTCCACCCACATGTTTTTTGTGAAAAGATTTAGCTTTGTTCACAAAAACATGTGAGTACGTAGAAAATGCCAGGCAGAGTCCATCCACACTGAAAAAAGAGCAACAAGCGGCGTTGGCCTCATTTGCCATTTGGTTCACAGGATTTCTGACAAGCGTAATCTCTGCCCGCAACACAAAGTTTTCAAGAAAAATGTGTTGTTTGTGTCGATGAAATTGTTCTTGCTTCTTCTTCAAATGATGTGGATGTGTCTAGTGCCATTTGACAAATCATGTCTCTTTTGACTCCGAGTGAGGCCTGTCTTGTGCAGCATTTCTATGCCTCTCGCTTGCAAGAAAAGACCGATGAAGAAATGCCTTCAACCGATCAAATTGATCCACTGTAACCATCTTTTCGACAGGACCTATTCCGATGCGTCATCTCCTCTTTTCATCTGTCATTTATCCACCTTGAACGAGAAAACATTAACTTGAATCAGAATCCATGGTGCCTTCCGGAGAATAAAACTTAAATTCTAGCCATATTCAGAGTTTCAGACCAACATAGTTTTAATCGAACCTCAAGTACTCAAAAAGATGACAAAGAAAAGATGACAAAGAACAGCACAAAGATTCTTGCACTATGCTCGAATTATGCGAACCGAGATCTAGTCCAGTACTACTGGCAACGAAGATTTGTGGCGCGTGTCGGTAAGAAAATCTCCATTGTTTGCATCCTCTCGAAAGGTCTCCCCATGTTCTTCCTAGCCTGTATTCAAACATAATCTGAGTCCTGCTGGACTCGAGCTGAATTTCTTTTTTGCAATCCTATGTTTTACCTATTTCCATGTGTAACGTGTTCTGAATTTCCATGAGCCAAAGAGGCCCTCGAATTTCTGTCCTCAAATTCCGATGCGTCTTATTGCTGATGTGCACATGAGTGGTTTGTGATTTAGTTTACACAGATCCAGCTTTGTCAAGCTAGAAGAAAAAAAAGGTTGATATGCAAAACTCTTTCTCAATCCACACTGAAAAGTGAGTATATCTGACATTGTTGACAAAAACATGTGAGTGGAGAATGTCAGGCAGAGTCCACCCACACTGAAACAGAGCATTGGGCATTGCCTCATTTGGTTAGCCACAGTGGGAGTAACTTCAGCAGTAACTTCGAGTCCAACTCAGCAAATTTGTCTATGTGGCAATGAGTTAATGAAGAGAGAGGTAGTTCTAGTAACTTAGCTAGTTACTCTAACATCACATCTCCCAATGCAATATGAGTCTATAACCTAATAAATGAAGCTTTGCATGACACCACACCTAAGTTACTACCCACTATCAAGGTAGTAACATAGCCTAGGGATATGTGTATGTTACTAGTGTATGTTACTCTCCACTGTGGCTAGTCAGGGTTTATGTGAGCTGTAATCCCTACAGAATTTCTTAGAAAAGATTCCATTGGCTCCAACCTCTCGAAGAAAGTGCGAATGGTTTTAATCCTCCAAAATTCCTACGCCTTTCCTTTGTTCCAGACTGAGCCTAAATTCTACCTTTAAACTTTTTCGCGTTTTCGGTGTCCCGTGAATTGAAGAACCTCGACAATTTTGTCGTTTGTGTTGATGAAATTGTGGATCTTGGATGTGAGTAGGAAACATGCTCCTGTTTCTTCTTTGTGTGATGTGGATGTGTCTAATCACATTTGACATTGCATCATGTCTCCCTGACTCTTGAGTGAGGCCTATCGCAACGGCGAATCAGATTCTTGTGCAACATTTCTCTGCCTCTCACTTGCAAGAAAAGACTGATGGAGAAATGTTTCGTACAGATCAAATCGATCCACATCTTTTTGACAGAACAAATTCCAACCGGTGATTTATTGTTTCGACATCTTTTTCTGACAGATCAAATCGATCCACATCTTTTTTGACAGAACCAATTCCTGAATTCCGATCCCAAGAAAAAGACCGATGAAGAAATGCGGAAATGCTCTCAAGAAAACAACCACTGAAGCAGAGCAAGGGGCGTTGGCCTCATTTGCTTCAGAGGATTTTTGACAACTGCAATCCCTACACAATTTCCTAAAAAAATCATACGAAAATTGTGGATCGGCACTACGTTTCGTAGGAACATTTCCATCAACTCCAGCCTCTCGAAGAAAACTGCAAAGAATTTTAATCCTTCTGGATCTGAGTTGACATAACTGTAAAGTTTCCCCGGTTTCCCCATTTTTTCCGAGTCTTGTTTGTGTTGATGAAATTGTGGATCTTTGGGTGAGAGCAGAGAAAACATTCTTGTTACCATTTCCACATCACAGGGTCTCTGTCAATTTATCGTCCTTGAACAAAAAACATATGCTCTCAAGAAAACATTACTAAATTGATCCATGGTGCCTTCCGAAGAATAAAACTTACAAAATTCTAACCACATTCAGAGTTTCAGACCAAACACGGTTTAAATCGAACCGCAAGTATCCGGAAAGTTTGCGAAGAGAAGACGATGCGACACGCGAGTCCAACCGAGATCTAGTCCAGTCCCGCAGGTAACGAAGATTTGCGCTGCGTTTTGGTAAGAAATTCTCCACTGTTTCCAGCCTCTCGAAATGTCCCCATGTTCTTCCTAGTGTGTAATCAAACATAATCTAAATCCTGCTGGACTCGAGCTAAATTTGTTTTTTTGGCAGTCATATGTTTTACCTATTTCCAATGTGTAACGTGTTCTGAATTTCCGTCAACCAAAAAGGCCCTCGAATTTTTGTCGTTGTTTGTGATGTTGAAGTTGTCTTGGATGTGAGCAGAAAATCGTTCTTGTTTCTTCCACCTCCAGTGATGTGGATGTGTTTGTGATGCTGAGTGAGGCATGTCGCAATGGCGAATCGGATTCTTCTTGTTCCGCATTTGTCATCCTCCAGTTTTGCAAGAAAAGACTGACGAAGAAATCATTCGTACATTATGCAATCTTTTCGACAGAACCTATTCCTCCGCTTTTTGTCTCCGGTTTATCAAAACAGAGACATATTCTCTTCATCTCAACTTCTCATCTCCTGTTATCGAAACAGAAAAACATGTTCTCTGAGGAGAACATTAACTCGAACCAGGATCAAGATGTCATGATTCTGACAGAGAAACTTACATTCCCACAAGGCCACCACCCAATAACATGCCTGGTATATTCAGACACAGCTAAATGGAACAGCAACGACAACAAATGCTGAGGTGCATCGAGATTCTTGCGCAAAGCTCAAACCATGCAAACTGCAGACTCGAACAAGCTCGAATTCAGAACCATGGGCAATGTTTCTCCC